GACAAGGCAGAGTGTGGGAAGAGAAGTTTATTTTCTTTTCTTTATGCCAGCTTCCCCTTGCCAAATACCTATAGGAAAATGAACAAACAGAAGAGAAAGAAGTTATACTGTAAGAGTCAGAATTTTTCCTTGGCCAGTTTGGCTCAGCAGTTAAAGCATCGGCCCTCAGACTGAAGGATCACGGGATTATTCCGGACATGTGCCTGGGTTGAAAGTTTGATCCCCAGCCCCTATTGGGGCCCTGTGGGAAGCAACCAATGGATGTGTCTCTCTCACATCCATGTTTCTCTCCCTCCCTTTCTCTCTCCTTTCCTCCCTCCCTTCCATTCTATATAAAAATCAATGAAAAAATATCCTAGGGTGAGGATTATAAAGAACAACAACAAAAAAGAATCAGAATTTTAGTATCTTAGAAACCGAATTTAGAGGGGATTTTAACAAAGAGGGTTGAAAAAGGAGGGATGGGAAAATGGTCAGGAGCAGCGAATCTTTAGATAGTCTGAGGACAATGAGGGTGGAGAAGTAATTGGTCACTAATGAAGTGTAAGAGGAAGTAAGCTGATGTGCTGTCTGTGTAACCTCAATACCTGTTGAAAGTGAAGCCCGAGACAGGCTGACTCCAGCCACTCAAAGTTAGAAACCATTTCCAGTTCACACCAAGATACTTTGCCTTTGGTTCTCCAACTTCCAGACCCAACCTCTGTCCACTTTCAGAAGCTAAGCACCCTTCTGACCTTATTCCTGCCAAAGTGGGTTCTAAGAAAGATAAATGGACGCAAAGTGTGGCATTTTCTAAAGTATTTGGTTTGGGTGAACCAAGGTTGTCTTTGTAATTTCATATCTGTGTGATTTTAGGTAATCCATTTACTCAAAAGTTAATTTATTTGAGCCTGTTTCCTAAGCTGTAGAATGTGTTTTAAAGTGTCTTTAAATGGTCAAGTGCAATGTAAGATGTGATCCTTAGTGTGAATTTAGGTTGTGTTACCTTCTGTAGAGTTCCTTTAATTTGGGTAATTTTAATTATAAACATTCTACTGAATTCATTGAGCATTTTTTGCATGTGAAAGTTGTTTTGTTTTGTTGCCCTCCCTGGGGAAGTATAGGTATGTAAGAACTGGAGAAACTTAAAGTGATTTAGGAGAAAGTGTTTTGTTTCTTGGAAAAGGAATTTTCAACAATAAGAACCAGAAAAGATATTATCTAGAGACTGAGAGAAGTGACCATTTTCTCTATATCTAAAATAACAAGATGAAAGAAATAATTTAGTTCTTAGGGACGAAGAGAATTGCTGATATGAAACAAAGTGTTAATAATCTTTGACATAAAGCTTTAATTCATCACCCCCCACCCCCCTTTTTTTTTCTGTTGTATTAGTACATTTTAGCAAAGGGGCATTGATTGTGTTCAACCTCATATTCTTTTTCTGAGTTGTAGACTAACTTTGGTCAATGAACTAATTCCCATTTTTCAGATAGGGAATATAATATTCTTTATGCTGAAAAGGGAATATATTATTACAAATAAGGGAAGACTATAAAGTGCCATGAGATTTGGGAATTAAATTGGCTATGAAATGGTATTCTTGAACCTTCTACATTATTGTGCTAATTCAGTCACCAGCATCAGTCCTTCAGGGATGGACAGGGAAGCTCAGTTATTTAAAAATAAACAAGGGGTAACAAATAAATAGAGCAAGTATCAGGAAATATTAGTCTGACATAAAAAGCACACATTGGAAAATGTAAAATTAGGTTAAATCATTGACCACTTTTATCCCTGCTTTTTATGGCTATACTATGGGGTATTATACACAATTTTTAGTTTCCACCTTTGTGAACAGCAGAAAGCTTAGAAACTTATTACTCTTCATCAGATTAGAGTACCCACAAGATTCTGCACATTTCACTGATCCGAGAAGTGGGACTGTTGAGGGCTGAATCAGTCATCAGTCTTGCAGGTATGGATTAGCCAACAGGAAATTTGGAAGAGCCATCCGAGAGAAAAATATTAATAGAAGTTGCTTTTTCTGTTTTCTAATGAGCTTTTCAAAAGGAATGTGCACTTTTGAGTTTTTTGTTAGTTGAATTCTTATTCTAAAGTTCCCTATACATTCATTGCAATGCAATGTCAAGAGGAATAAAAATATGTAGGATTTTTTTCCCACCAGGTCATTTGAATTGCTCTTTGTTATACCTCCCTGTAGCTGAAGGTTGTTTTTGTCCCAGCACTGGGTGGTAAATGAATTTGATCCAACAACTTGGGGATGGACTAGAGGTAAAATTAGCAAGAGCCCTTGAATCTTGGGTCAGAAGCTGGCCATACTCAGCAAGAAGGCTAAATTCCCAGCAGCTCCACGATCCAAAACATCTGTTTCTATATTTGGCATAATTCTACTTTTTTATTTGTAAAATTGTTCCCATCTTTGAAAATATTTTAAAAATAAAACAAGTCTCCATTCTGTCTCCTCTTTCCACCCCCCCAACACATGCATCTTTAATTACCTGGTGTAGTCTGTGTGTTTAATCAGCTTAAATTGAGAAGGTTGCCTACATCTGATTTCAATCTGAAGGCTGCACTGAGGACTGGGCAGTTTACCACTGTCGTGCCTGCCAAAACGTGCCTCTGCCAGAAAAAATACCCTTACACCAGGGTATATTTTAAAGAAGCCACTTGACTTAGATAGATATTTAATTTCCTTAAAATATTGTTTTGGATCTGAGTCTCTGTTCTCTAATTGGAATTTTCTGATGTAATTTAGTAATTTCACTTATTTGCTGAGTTTGTTCCAGGATTCAGCTGGCATTATTCTGAAAGTGGCTGAACCCCACGGAAGTAAACCTCACTCTGAGTGCCAGTTGGTACCTCACTCCTCCGCAGGATGTGCCAGGCCCACGTTTGTTCCCGTTGTCGCTGGGTCGTTTATACCTGCAAACTGTGAAATTGATTCTGAGACAGAAGGGCTTCAAGTGTTGGCAATGAAACCTCTGATCAGAAGTGCACATCTTTTGAGTTATTTTCTTGGTTAAATTGAAGTAGAAAAAAAAAATGAACTGATTGTTAATTTTAATTTTATTTTTATTTATGATGTTAACACATATTTCCTTAGCTGTGTTCACTGAAAACACCCCCCATGGACCACTGTTTGAGTCTTAAGGGTTTTCTGGGTTTTATTTTCCCCCTTCATTGGGCCATAATTTCTGAATAGTAAAGAAATAAGAATGTAGAGCGGAGCTCTTTCTAGAACTTTTAAATTAGAGTTCTTAAGTTATAGGCTTTCAGCACTTGAAACTCTAGGGGCCCCTTTATTTCTTAGCACAGTTAGGATGACTGCTAAAAATGTCTCTGCATATTTTGCATGGACATGATCTGGGTGATGGGCTGACATTCATTCCACTGGGTTATTCAAAGTAGGCTCATGAGCCCACCTTAAGCCACACAACCAGCATGCTTGAAGTAAAACATTTGGGGAACACAGTGGAGAGATTTTTAATATCCATATATATCAGGACTTTAAAAATTCATTTTAATTGTGACACAATCATAACACACATACTGTCAGATAGTTGGAGTTAGCACAAAGCTAAGATCACTTGATACAACATTTACAATGGTGTTGGTCTTGCCAAAGGAACTACTGCACAGACATTTAAACTTGGCTTCCTGAGGTTGCACCTCCTTCTAGGGTTGCGGAGGGACTGTCACATTTTGTCCCTGCCTGTACCTCCTTTCTTTCCTGTAATCTGTCCTGTATAGGTGGCTCTTTCGTCCCTGTGTTGTGCTCTGACTCATGATGTATGTATTTCAAAGCTTACATCTCAGAGGCAATCTCATTTGGGCTTTTTTTCTCGCCTCTTGAAAGTGCTGAGTATTGGCATTAGGCTTGCTAAGGTCTACGTTTTTTGTTTTCTCCACTTTTCTGACTACCCAGAATTGCTGAGGAGCATATGAGCTAGAAGGGGACTCCATCAACTGGGAATTGTGTGTAAATAAATTTCCTCATTATTTATTCAGCTTTAGTATTTCTAGTTTTTCAAATCAAATTCAGAGTAGTCAGATTCATGCATTTCATAAATATCTATTGAGCACCTGCTACATAAGGCACTGTTGTTCTGGGTGCTTAGAGTATATCAGAGAACAAACATACCAGGACCCTGCCCTTCAGGGAGTTGAAGTCAAGGAGCCTGTTTGAGTTTGCTTATCAGGTACCCTGAGTAACTAACTGATTGCAGTGAGGAAAAGGAAATGGATGGGAGGTTAAAGGGTCTTATCGCAGTCTCTCCAGTCTGGGATGGAGCAGGGAATAGAATATCTTCTTTTTTTTTATCCTCACCCGAGGACATTTTTTTTTTTTTTCCATTTTTTGTTCAGATAGAGCGGGAGGGAGAGAGAGGGAGAGAGAGAAACATCGATGCAAAGGGACACATCGAGTGGCTGCCACCCGCACGACCAACCAGGGCCGGGGACAAACTGCAACCGAGGAACATGCCCTTAGCGGGAACCGAACCCGGGTCTCTCTGTACCACAAGCCGACGCTCTAACCTCTGAGCCAAACTGGCCAGGGCTAGAATATCTTCTTCATTACATTTCTTTGAATCTATAGGGTTCTTGTAGTTCCTTTGTAATTTCTATTATATTTAGAAGAAAGCTGCTTCTGCCCAGAGTGATATATTTGTGTCTGATAGTGGTTGTATTGGTATATGAAGGGAAAAAATATAGATACAGCAAACCTAGAAGGAAGGGATTTTACAGTTAAAACAGAAAGGAGCTTCAGCTAGTTTGTTAAATGCCCTAATAGTTGTTGGCAGAAAAGTTTGGGCGGTCATCATACTGAAACCTGCATCTCTGTGTGTTTAGCATGTATACACACATAAATCTGGAGTTTTCATTTTTACCACACAGTTCTTGAAAATAAGAGGCAATGCTGCCAGGACATTTCCTCAGACTTTGGCCTGGACAATATATTAATCTTGGATTTTGCTTTGTTCTGCCTTCTCCTTTAGAGTTGCTGGAACTGTGGCCGCAAAGCAAGTGAAACCTGCAGTGGCTGTAACACAGCCCGATACTGTGGCTCATTTTGCCAGCACAAAGACTGGGAAAAGCACCACCACATCTGTGGACAGACCCTGCAGGCCCAGCAGCAGGGGGACACGCCCGCGGTCAGCTCCTCTGTCACACCCAACAGTGGGGCCGGGAGCCCGATGGACACACCACCAGCAGCCACCCCGAGGTCAACCACCCCAGGGACCCCTTCCACCATAGAGACAACCCCTCGCTAGATGTGAACTCAGAACTGTCAGAGGAAAAACAACACAACCAACATGAAACCAATTCTTCATCCTCAGATGCTCAAAGTTCTTTTTGTTTGTTTGTTTGTTTGTAGATGAACTTTCCTATTTCAGTACTTCAGCAAAAGAGAACCTAACCATATCTTGAGGCGGTAGTAAAACAGAGGGCCAGTAACGGGTCGTAATGACTTATTGTGGATAACAAAGATATCTTTTCCTTAGAGAACTGAAAAAAGAGCAGAGAATATAACATGAAATGATAGATTTGACCTCCTCCCTGTTATTTTCCAGTAGCTGGGATTTTAAACTAGATGACCTCATTAACCGATGCTTTACCACACAGCAAACCAAGAGATTGCTAATTGCTGTTGAAAGCAAAATGCTAATATTAAGACACAATGTTCCTGATATACAATAATGGGAAAAAAAAAAAAAAAAAGAGGAAAACCCTCAAGGGCATGAGCATTGGCTACAGTGGTAGACATTTTAACAAGAAGATGAATGGCGTCCATGGGTTGCTAACTGAACTTTGAAGACCTGCTACAAAACGCATATGTGCAACATATTGGAAGGAGAAACAGATGTTCAGTATTTTTTTTTTCCTGTTTCTGAAAAGAAATAATATTCAGGTCAACAGAATGAAAAATGAAAGATGATTTGCAGTGGGATGTATGAATACAGCAGCAAGAAAAATATGCCATAATACAAAAGGCTCCTTTATACACATACGCACGCGCGTGCGCACACACACGCACACACAAACAAGTTAAGAGACTCAGCCTGCAGTTAATTAGCATTCTGGCAGCTTTGACATCAGCCAGCTGCCCTAAATAACCCTTCAACGTTTGTTCACTTTTGCGAGATTACACAGAGTAAGACATTGGGTCTATTCCAGCTCATTCATTTTATATTGAAAAATACTTTTTAAAGAACGGTGGCTCCAGCTCCAGCCCCTTTCCAAATTTTCAACCCCACCCTGTTTAGATTTTTTAATTAAAAACTAGTAGTTCTCTTCGTGTTAAAACACTTCTGTCCTGTGAGGTTTCCAATGGTGTTTTTCTTGTAAATGTGTTGGACAAATGTGAAGATGCATTGTAGTTTAACCATATGCCCACATTTAGTCTCTTTATTCCTAGTTGGTGAGAAACCTGTATCTTTCTATGCTGCTTTTATATCTGTATGTATTAGTGATATTTCTCTAGTAGTTCGGGGAAAAAAGACTTTTTTGGTTGTCCTCAAGAAAAGAAAAAAGAAAAGAAAAGGCTATCTTTCGGAGCTGCTATTTCACTCTCTTATAGGATTTTTTTTCCTGAAAACCAGCATGTTCACGGAATGCTAGCATTGGTGTTTTGTAAGAGGGAATGTACATACATGTATTTTGCACTGTCACAATGACTCCCTAGGCATGCTTTTT